AAGTGCAGAGCAGTCTAAAGGAAGGGACAGATTGTGTGAAAGTGGGTAAAGGGGGTACATCACTCTGCCCGTGTTCTATCAGCACCGGCTGCAAAGGAGGCTGAGAAGTGTAGCCTCGACTCAGGGTGCTGTGGACCAGCGCAATGTCAGGGTTCCGTCACTGTTGGGAGCAACCAGCAGAGCTGACGGTCAGATGCATCTAATTGTCATAACTAAGCAACTCTGATAATAAGAACCACTAAGTGCCGTTTGCCGAGCACACAGCGTGCAGCAGCAGTTCTGCCGAACACGTGACACGTGGTATGTCCTTAAACCCTTCTGGCCACGCAGAGAGGTGCTTTGCCTGGTCTTATAAATGGGGCCTCTCTCTGAACCTCAGTTCCCCCCACTGCCATGTAGGAGGCACAGCTCCCTGTGTTCACTTGTGAGGATTAACGACGTCACACCTGATGCTCCCAGCACCCAGTAGGACCTCAGCAGATGGGAGTTGCTTTTCTAAACGCTGCCTGGCCCAGGGGGGATACTCGCGCGCCATCTAGTGGTTGAACAGCGCACAGCCATGGTGCCACCTGGTGGCCACATCTCGCAGTTGCTCGACCAAGCACTGAGGGGTGTTGCTTGCGTGCGGGGGTTCTCAAACTCCGTTCCCACCAGGCAGATGGTGCAAGTGAGGGATGCTGGCAGGCTGAGAGACATAGGGAGCGATGGAGATCATTGAAGATGGAATCCATCCCAAATCTCCAGCAGAGTGTTGCCACATGGGGATGCAGACCTAGAATTCCCCTAAATTGTGATTTTTACCCCCAAGAAATCCCAATTCATGTGGAAAGCGTCTCTATTTTTAGAGATGGATACTAAAAGAAATTGTTTTTCCAACACTATGTTGGCCAAATACATCTGGAGGCTGGCTCTATAGCCCATGGCCCACCATTTCGTGACATCTATTCGTATGGTCTTGCATGATTTTTAAAATAAATCAGACCCTCATCCCCCTTTTGGTGACTGTGGTGGTTAATTTTACGTGTTAACTTGACGGGATCATGGACAGCTCAGATATTTGGTTAAAGATGATTTCTGGGTGAGTCTGTGAGGGTGTTTTCAGAAGACGTTAGCATTCACATCAGCAGACTGAATAAAGCCGAAGGCTTTCCCCTTTGCAATGCGCATCACCTAATTCACTGAGGGCCCAAATAGAACACAAAAGCACAAAAAAGTGGAAGAAAGGCAAATTCTCTCAGACTGACCCCTGGCACTGAATTTACAACACAGGCTTTCCTGGGTCTCCAGCATGCAGATGGCAGGCTGTGGGTCTTCTCAGGCCCCATAAACACATGAGCCTATTCACCATAATAAATCTCTTTATTTATGCCCTATTGGTCTGGTTCTCTGGAGAACCTTAACATTCCAGTGGCTTTTTTTTTTTAAAGATTTTATTTTTATTATTTATTTGACAGAGAGACACAGCGAGAGAGGGAACACAAGCAGGGGGAGTGGGAGAGGGAGAAGC